ATCCGATCCACTGTGAAAGAAGACTTAGGATGCACCCCAGCCCAGCTAGTCTACGGAACGAACTTGGTCTTGCCAGGATAGCTCGTAAACCCAGAGAATTCATCGGAAACCAACATCTCTACGTTTGCTGAAAACCTCGCTCAACGTATGCCAGTAATATAGCCCACACCACCCCGCACTAACGATCGTCGTGAACAACTGGGTAAGCAGCTGATGTCTTGCAAGTATGTTTTCGTTCGGATCGACGGGGCTAGAAAAGGTTTGCAGCCTCCGTATGAAAGGCCCTTCCCAGTGATTAGTCGAGCCGAAAAATACTTTACCGTAAACAAGCAGGGTAAACAAGCGACTGTAGCCCTCGATCGACTCAAGCCAGCTTTCGTGGCCGATGAAGCCGAAGTGAAACAACCACCACTTCAGAGCAGAACCTCATCTACCGCCACGCTGCCACCGATCCCGCCACGTGGGCAGACTTCTCTCATTCCTCCGTGCAGCACACGCAGCGGCCGGCAAGTAGTCAAACCCAAACGTTATGTACATTTCACTGGCTGATATTTTCCCCATTTCCGATTCGAATTATTTTACTATCTTACGTCAAATTTATTCATAAATACACATGCCGATCATTGCTATTATTTTTTTATATATACAACGCACATTTCTCCCATTTCTCACCTCTTTTATGCCAATAGATATTACATTTTACTGTTGTTCATAAATCATTCAGGAAATACGTATATTTTAGAATAATTGTAAGCATTACTTTTAAATATTTGTATTAATTTTGTTTCCTCACTAATAGGCTTCTGAACAACAGCCTCAGGCACATGTAATTTTCGTCTGCCTACATATATTTTTTGGTTCAGCCCTGCGTGCACATTTTCTTTTTCTCTTTCTACCAGACAGTTCCCCTGGATTTTAATAATAATAATAATATTTATTTCATGCAACAAAGGTTGCATGAATACAAAACAGTTTACAGGTTTGACCATTTTGGTAATGAGAAATGATTATCATGTACAATGTTAAGCTATACATTAGGTACCATTATTGATGGCATATAAGAAAGGTGTTGAAGCAAGCTCAGTTCGAATTTAGGGATTATTCGGTTATTGTTTGAATCTTTCAATATTCTTGAGGGCGGGGCCGCATCACAGTCATGACCTTGAGGTGTGCGCGTTCGTCATAACGCCTCAACGCCTTCTTTTTGACGCCGGTCTGGTTCAACAAGACCAAAACCTTCAATGCGGCTTATCGAAGCTATTCGAGACAGTGGGTCGACTAGGAACTACTTTGCCTCAAATACATGACAGATACCTGACATGAACTGAGAAATGTTATCCAGTTGTCGCGACTCGCACAGGGAGTACTCGTCAGGTGCCGAGCTAACGACGTAAGTTAGCAGTTTGTGTGCCGGGAAAATAAAGAAATTACTATCTACCACAGAATTTCGAAAGCGGCATACAGAACAGTACATGGCTAGAAGTTCCCTATCAAATGTGCTGCGTCTCTTTTCCACCTCCTGCGGTCGCCTCGGGTAGAAGGTTAAACACTGCCACTGATTGTCGGTCAACTGTTCCAAAACTGCTCTGATCGCTGAGTTGGATGCATAAACGGCAATACTTAGAGGGGTAGCGGTGCACAAGCATGGCTGCATTCGAAATGGCTTCCTTGAATTTAGAGAAAGCAGCTCTAGCCACGTTGTCCAGAGCCGCTCACTTCGTAGTCCCTCGAAGTAGATTTGTGAGTAGTCTCATCCCAGAGGCAGTTGGGAAGAAACTATCGGTGATACTTGCCAGGCCGTTAAAAGTACGAAGCTGCTTTGCAGCGGTCGGCTCTGGATAGTTCATGATATCCGCCACTTTATCTCCCATTGGGCGTTTATCTTCGTTGTCAATAGTATGCTCAAGGAAGCTGAGTCGTTCAACTCTTATTTCACACCTCTGCATGTTATAATGATAATAATATATTTCATACAACACATAAGTTCCATGAAAACAAACCAGTTTACAGGTATGATCATTTTAGTAATGTGAACTGACTGTTGTGTACAATGTCAAGCTATACAATAGACACCGTTCTTTCCTGTACATAAAAGATGCGTCTGGGGTAAGAACTTTAATGTTTTGCGGACAGAAAAGAATGAAACAGATAAACACCGGCACAATTGCTCATCATAGTGAGGCAAGCTTGGTTGGAAAGTAGGAAATATTTGGCTATCGTTTGAATCTTTCAATATTCTTGAAGGTGGCGCCGGTAGATCAGCTGTGACCCTGGGCTTTATGCCTTCGTCACAAGGCCTAGATAGCATAGTGCGCGTTGACAAGTTAGACTGCTGGGATTCCATATGGATGAAGGACTGGTTGGGTGAACCTGAAAAATGAGTAATGTTATCTATGACGTATGCCTTCTCAGTCTGCTGCGTTAGAAAGTTTGCGCTGCCTTCCGAAGACCGAAAGGGGTGAGCAGGAACTCAGACGAACTAAGAAGAGTAATAATGGTTGTATTCGCGGTATCTCCTGCTACCATAGGTATCCGACTATACGCTTCGACCAGATAGTGTAGAAAACTTTCATTCTGCATGAAGTCTCAATCAGGTTGCAGATGTGAGGCATCACCTATCAACCTGGCGTTGCGTTGGCGTGATAGATCGACTTCTCAACAATGTTCCTAATTGGGTTCCAGTCACGACAGACTGACGATGAGGACTCCCCAGGTGTCAGATCTAACTTCACATTTGCATCACTGCTGCGGTAGAGGGAGGTTTGAACTCATAAGTTATCTGCTAGTAGGTGGTCACTGATGGGGGCCGCCAGTTTTACTGATTTTCGGTTCACGCTGACGCAAGTATCACCATTCATCTTCTCACACAATTCAGCCGTTTCGGTGTCAGTAAGCAGACGCTGATCAAGCTCATTTAGATGACCGACTGCTTCTCCGTGGGTTTAAAGGACTAGCGGTGCAGATCCCCTACAACAGTAGTATGGTTGTGCCTAGTCGTTTTCACTATGAGCAATATGTGAAACAGTCGTCGCTCTTGCTCCATTGTGTATCTCTTCTGGTAACCGTTCATGAACATCATGGCCGACATTACTCATCACTTTATTTCTACTGCTTGCACTTCATTTTCCCCATTATTTTGACTTCAGTAGATATTCTCTGACATCTCAGAGTTTCTTACCTGACATTTTGTATCGTTCTCTCCTTTCGGTTGTCCTAACCGTTTCAGCGGTGTGATCCACTGTTTGGCGAAATGACACTCGAAAATCCAATCGGCAATATGGTATCAGGAAAAATTATACACGCCGCTGCGAATTCAACCGAATGACAACCGCTCGCGTAGCCTATAACAGCAATAACAGCAAGCGACTTGATTTGGTGACCCGAAATCAATCGAAAATCCAGAATTGTCCTGTGAAACCTAAAAGTGACGTCCTAGAAATCTGATGATTTTCACCAGCCCATATAACAGATATTGCGTATTAAGCGACTGATTTGATTCGAATGAGATGAGTTGGAGGCAAACAGGTGAAAATCAAGTCCTAAATTGAGCGTTCGTTACCCGGCTTTCACACAAGCTGGTCTGTCTCCGCTTTCCTCCTAGCGGTGGTTTTAAGCTATGTGTGGAGGACTGACCAGTAATACTGAGACACGCCTGTTCGATCCATTCGGCTTGGTCAGCATGACTACCAGGAACAGACAAGTGTCTACAACATCTGTTCCATAGGAATCGACCTCAAGATAAGTAGTCAATATTTCCGCCTTGAAAGGGACGGAAGTGGTTGTTCTGTCGAAGCAAAGAGCTTAGGAGCTTAGGAGGTGTGCAGTCCTAGTAATGAGAAAGATGTTCTGACGAAACCTTATATACTGTGAGTTGCCTGGTAGGTGTTTCAGTTGATCAACCTACAAGCAAGAAGTAGTGATCCCAGAACAAAAGGGATCCTTTCACTTGCCGACTGGTGATCCAAAAAAGAACCAAGCCTGAAGGTCGAGACGTGAAAATTGGAAGACTATCAACCACTGGCAAATGCAACGTTGAAAAGGAATACTTTCACTGCTACTGTTGTAAGTGACATAGGTCGAACCTGTGTCATTCTGGTGAATAGGTCATTTTTCTTCTACCGATTTCATGGGCCGTTGCCACAGTTACTTCCACTGTTTTTAAAGTCACTGGAATTATCTCTCAGTTCTTCCAACGGTGTTACCTTTGGCTTCTTTTAATTCCATTCATTTCTTATCACTCTAGACGACGCTGACAACAAAATATTCAACAGCTTTAGCAGTGAATTTGTCTCAGAACAGATTAGCTGCGTTAATCCAAAATGAACAAAGGTCCAACCTTTTAATAAGTCAATCACATACAAATCGATTGAGTTCCTGGACGTACTCTGCCAGAATCCGCTAATTTTTGGAGGCCTTCCACATAGCGAGTAACAGAGGACAATAAAAACCTGCATCAGCCAAATCGTGCAAGCAAGCTGAGCCTACTAGAAACATGGCGATAGCCGCCAGGGGAAAACATCAAACTGGAATCTTATTAGGCCAATATTAGGGCTTTGTCTAACCTATTTTCCCGAAGAGCGTGCAGTTTAGGAAGCGCTGTACCGCGTCAAATTCACAGTTCGCTCAGTAGTATGACCCAGAACAATCTTGGATGGCTATACCTGCTCACATTGCTTGTTGATGAGATGCGCAGGCAACTACTAATCTCCACAACTGACCCAAAGCCTTGGTGATTCTTTGTTATCTTGCTGTTCCCTATCATTTATTCGAAACTTAACATCTGTTCGTTTTGAGTTGCCTCCTCAGTACTTCAGTTCCTCTCAACCACTTGAGCTAATATCTTTCAATTTGATTTTCTTCAGAAGCATCATATATTTATTTCCCCACATTGGCTGCTACTGACCTGCAGGTGCCCAACTAACTGATGCCGAATGCAGGAAAATAGAAAAAACTTCATTGCCGAAAACGGATTCGTGCATTCAAACTTAATCATTCTAAAGAAATGAAATAAAATCAAAATCGACGCTAGCTGTTAACACTGGACAACTTTTTACTACTGTTGTATTATGTTAATCTTCAAGGCTGTATTGAGCAGCACCACTGGTCATTTTCAAATCTAGCCTCAATAATCGTCTGCAGTTCTACGCCTTTTAGTAAGGGAAGACTCTCAGAGGTGGTTTTTATTTGCAATTATGAAGAGTATCCTAAAGAACAAAGGTATGAATTGGTAGTTTCTAATTGACTACTTTTTTTTAATGTATGTTGATGATTTGGTTGCCCAAGTGGAATGTTGAAATACCAATAGACTGTGCAGTTTAATTGAACTCGGCATAGATTTCTATCAGAATATACCAGTCAAATGTTGCAGTGATTAGTAATTAGATAGGTTTTTGTATTCAGACTACCACATTTCACTTTCGTAGATACAAGCCGATGAGGCTACATTAATTCTTTTTTTTTTTGTGTATCTCTGTTTGTATTTTCACTACTAGAAAGAGTATTGATGATACATAATCAGTTCTTACGCAGGTTGGTCTAAAAGTTTCAAATAGTGAAAGATTAGGAGCTCCCAACCCTAGAATTAATAGTTTTCTCTTGTCAGTTATAAGAATAGTAGACCAGTTGGCCTGTGTTAATCCTTGCAGAAGATATCTCTGAGAAGATCTGGTTTCTCCTTGAACGCGTCAACAGAAGGTTCTGATACTACTTGCTGAGGTAAGGAGTTCCAGTCGGTGACAACACGATGTGAGAAACAGATTCACGCTAAGCTGATTCAATAACGGTTTTTGGATTTTCTTGTGATGCCCTCGGAGATAGTCAGTCCTAGCAGGGGTGAAAAGATAGGACATATCAGTACCGAAGTCATTATTAGGGATACGGAATGTCAGTATGTGGTTACCCCGTTCTATACAGTGAGACAATGGGAATAAGTTTAACGGGTCTAGTCATTCCTCATTGGGCAGATTAGAAGGGCCTGTCACAAGCTTAGTACTCACCCTTTGAACACGCTCGAGTGCGTCAGCATCTTTTTGTAGGCATGGGCTGCATGCCTGAATGCAGTATTCCAAGTGAGGTCTAACGTAAGTAGAATAGAGTATTCTGAACATGTCCTGACCAAAACTTTTGAAAGCTCTGCGGAAGGACTATAATATACGGAAGCCCTTTGCTGAAGCTGCATTACAGTTTACCGAGGTTTCCAAACCATGACTAGTGATAAAATCCAAGTCTTTCAGTTCAAAGACTGGGAGTAGCGGTGTACCATCAACGGAATACTGGAAACAATTGCTATGACCAATGTGCATTATTACACTTTTGTTAGAGTTGATTTCCAGGCGCCAACGTTTGGACCAACCTACTAGTTCATCTAAATCCGCTCGAAGTGCATACCTATCCGCATCACTGCGTATGGCTCTCCAAATCTTCACATCATCGATGAATAGCAGTACCGAAGGGTTGAGGAATTTTGGCAGTTCGTTGATGTATAATAAGAAAAGTAGTGGACCTAGGGTTGTCCCTTGAGGAACTCCACTCGTCACAGGTTTTCACCCGGACAGTATCCCATTTACCCTTACTCTTTGCTTTCTATCGTACAGGAATTCCCTAATCCAGGTTTGCAATGAAGCACCAAACCCGAAAGAGGAGAGCTTTCCTAGTAATTTCATACGCGACACTTTGTCGAATGCCTTACTGAAGTATATAAACACGTCATCTGTTGGCAGCTTGCAGTCACGGGCAGCAACCCATTACTCTCTTGCAATAGACAGGAGTGTCCAGTACGAAAACCGTGTTGTTGTGGTGCTAAAAGATTGGTTGACCCAACATGTTTAAGTACCTTGTGACGAATTATTTTTTCTAAAATCTTAACAATTGTGCTAGTTAGACTCACAGGGCGATAGTTAGACACCAAATGGCGACTACCGGTTTTAAAGACTGGGCTGATTATTGCATCTTTCCAGTCTCTAGGGAAGCGAGTTTGAGTTAAGGACATATTGAAAAGATCCGTGACCGGCTCAGTAATAATGTCTGCTAGCGAAGATAGAAGTCTGGGATGTAACTCATCGGGACCCGGGGATTTTCCAAGTCTAAGATTAATGAGCAGCTGTATGACTCTTTCCTTCGTTGTTAACACAGTATCTATTAGTGGAACAGTCCTAACGCCACTATTGAGCACTCCATCGTCATGATCTGCAGGTAGACCTCACTAAAGTAATCCGACAGACATTCAACTTCGGACATATTTGATTCCACCAGACTATCGGACTTTTCATCCGTCGCCAGGTAGGGAATTCCACATTATCTTTTAGTCCTCCTTCTGATGAATGCGAACAGTCTTTTAGAATAACTTCGGCAATCTGTTACAAACTGTTTCTCGTAGGACATTCGAGGCTGTGTAATCAAAGTTTTGCAGAGATTACGGACTTTACAGTACCCAGTATTAAATGTTTCCAGTCCAGTTTGTAAAAAGCAAGTCTCATAGACGATTCCTCCGCATTAATAGTTTCTTAATATCTTTATTAAACCACAGAGGGCGATGCAGGGATCGTCGTGGAGTCAAACATGTGATAAATGGCGTCGTTGCCTCTCCATATAGAGTCCTAAACCTATTCTGTGCGTTCTCAGTTGATGAGTCCTTGTCAACAGTCCAATCCTCACCGACTATGCAGTCCCGTATACTTTAAATGTCTGCGCTCCATACATAAGGTCTAGAAGAAGCAGTGTCATAACCAAACTCATCAGTCCGAAAACCATGGTCGCTTTTAGCTAGTGGAGGGAAGTGTCGTAGATCCAAAATATCTTCACATTGGTGGGTTAAGACTAAATCTAATAACGATGGCTTGTGTTCAGAATCGTAATGTGTTACACATGTTGCGTTCCGAACTAAAACATATTCTAATACCGTCAAGAGTAAGTCATTTTCGAAGGAATTGTCCGATGCTGAGACTGTTAGCTCCGTCCACTTTATGTGTGGGGCATTCAGATCTCAACTGTTAGACATCTGTTGCTTTTACTCCAGTTACGCATATGGGTTAGCACGAAGTCATTTGCGAGGCAGGATGGACTACGGCAAATAACCCCGATAGTACAGAAACCTTGTTTTGACTTCAGCTCGCAACTAACCACTTCACAGATCCCGCGTTCATGTGCTTCAGAATTGACTAATCGGATGTGGACTTCATCCTGAACATAGGGTGGTATGCTGCCACCTTTGTGACTCATAACTCTATCTGTCCTTACACAGTAATACCCTGTGGGGAGTGGTGTAAAATGTAAGTCCTTTATTAGCCTGGTTTCACTAAGGGCTACTGTGTCAACATCTAGTTCGCAGATTAGAGTCTCGAGGTCTGTCACTCTGCTTCTAATGCTGAAAACGTTAGTATAGATTACGTTCACTGTGTTGGAAGAGTTCCATGACCCACCCATATAGGCCTTGGAAGCATTCGCTTCCAAAACCTCCCAACCCGAAAACCCACTATTTTAAGATCGTTTTCCCCATTAGTTTGCTGAGCCTTAAGTTCGGCGACAGCTTTTCTTCTTTTTATGCGTTCCTCGAGGGGCCAATTAGGTCTGATGCGGATATCCGAATTTCGCAGTTTGTATGCGTTACTCAAGATTACATCCACTTCTTCCTCGTTGCCTAAAACAACCTTTAAAATTCTGTTCTCATCAGGTTTTTCATCCGTTTTCTTACCTAGCCTGACTACTTTGGAGATTTGTACCCCTTTAGACTTCTCAGGTAGAATACGTCTGATGGCCGACTCGGCTAATTTCAGGTCATGGTCGTGAAGTATTGAAAGATCTTTGTCCCATGACTCCTCAACATTCCAGATCACATTGAGCGTTGGATTGGAATACTTGAGTCGCATGTTCATGGCCTTCGAAACCTTCTCAATAGGTTTTATAAGCTTAGTAGCTGCAGTGATAACCTTTGCCGTTTTCTTCGAATGCTTTCTTGGAGAAATCCATGTAGATTCGATGACCATCTTTATAGAGTCAACACTGTTACCGCAGATGCAGTCTTTTGGTGAATCCTCAGGAACTATAGTTGGTGTATCACTTGCCATCGGTTTTCTCTTGCGCCGAGTACGCTTCGGAACGGGTGTAATCTCACCAATTAGATCATTAGCTCCCATTGGTCCATTGAGAGATCCTGTGTCAGATATATTAACGATAACACTTGCAGTGTCATCATCTGATGCCGCATTAGAATGACAGCTATCATTTCCACAAAGCTGTTTTTTGACGAGTAACATCTCAACAGCTTCCTGGATTAGGACTGACAACGGCTTGCAGCAGAACTCATAAAACCAGGGAGAAGCTGGTTTGCTGCAACGCTTGTACACGGTTGGTGTCAATCCTGTACAAAATTTGTGGAACCAACATGCACATACATCACATTGCATAGCTTCATCAACTGGGAATTTACAGCTGGGACGATCACAAACATGATTATCGCTAACCATGTTATTCACAATTCCGTTTTCACTAGTACCGTGTACTAACTGAAGTATTCGGTCAAACTTTTCGACACAAGGACTTAAGTTGTGACAACACAAAGACCAACCTTAAGCCTCAAAAATGATTCAGCTTGAAACACTGACTCATGTACCTCAAGTCAATGTTTATAAGAAGGCCTGTGATGTGGATTACACAACAAAAGCTTGGAAAAATTCACTTCCTGTTTCCAAGGCGTGCGTGTCTAACAGACCACTAGATCCTGAAAAAATTAAGTACGTAGAGTATAAAGTAGTGATTCAGTTCATAGACTCGTGCTGTGACACTTGGTGAACATATAGTTTGCTTTTGAAGGACTCCAGTGATATAATCTGAACAACCCTCGTGGTAAGGATATTTGAAGCCATGGGAATCTCAGGGAGTAAAATTTATACCAGGTTTCCACTTCGCTGTCTTGAATTTCTCATTTTTGAATGTTTGTATCATAGCTTAGGGTAAGCAAATGGTGAAGTGGGTGGTCTGAAGCATTTAAAGTGTTGTACATCACAACTAGGTCACCCCTCAGTTGTCTATATCCTATGCGCCGCTGCCATGCTTTTCTTCGTATAGTGCGAACCTTAGACCACAAACACTTAATTTAGCACCTCTGAATGCGTACTAATCGATGGCCTCTTACGAGATTCTCATCGTGTTGAAGTGGTGGAAAGACTATCAACCAGAATCCTAGGTATTGCCGTATGAAACAATGTTTCAATAGAGACACC